GCATCTTCTGTCATCTTTTGCTCTTTGTCTGAAGTGGCTTGATCATGTTATTACTGTGTGCCATTCTCCACTATCTCAGCTGCCTGAACCGCATAAACAGCATTTTCACTCATTCATACTGCAAACCTCCCACACCGCTGGGGCCGGCCGAGAGTTAGTTAGCATATATTTAGAAACCTGAAGGCAAGCGAATACATCATCAACACAAACGTATGAAATTGGTGAAGGGATATATACATTCCCCAAGTTAATGAGAAAAATATTTAACATTTCTCCATAAATGAAGCTGTTCCTGTGCATTACCCTCATATGGTATAACTGTAATTAATGGCTAGTTGAATCACATGTACTCCATGGATTCTATCAAATGTACCACTTAGGAATTAAGTCGCTTTATAAATTAGCGCCATAATTACAGCACTGCGACTGGATGTGTATTAGTACTCGAATTGGTCTGCTGCAGGGTTTTATATCTTCTGTATGCATTATGAAAACATGCCAAAGCCATTCATAATTCATCACACCCTGCACATAGCCATTAAGAGCTAGAAAATCATATTGTAAATCAAATATGAACCGTTCTGTAGATAAGGCCCGAGTAGGTTCCCTGAAGACGCATGTCCCTTTAAGAACACATACGTTTTGCTGGCGCATATTTTTCCACTTTAGTTCGGTACATTAAGTTGCTGAAACAGAAGGGGCCTCCTGTCATCCCCGTCTGATAACGAAGCGCTTTAGCGTTCCTTTCGCCGTCCTGCTCTCCATGTATAAATATGTATAATTCCGATAAGATTAATTGGATCGCCTAAGTACACAGAGGCAGAGCAGAGAGCAGACGGCCTGCTGCTGCCGCTGCGTATGTGCTCGGGGCCCGCCTCGCAAGCCCAGCTAAAGTGCTTCTTTTCTCTTTCCTGGGAACAAACTGCCTTCAATTAAAAAAGAAAATGGCTTCCCCACAGGTCCGGAGGAAAAGGAGCTGAGCGAATAGCTTTCACACTGTGACGATAAATAGCCCTGTTAAAATATTAAAGCCACTGCGAACATTCAATACAAAACGCTCACCTCCTTCTTAAATAGGGGGAGAAAAATATATTTCCTCAAATTTCCACGCCTTTCCGCACAAACTTTAATCGCTCATTTTGCTGTTTTACTTTTCTTTTTTTCCTTTTTTACGCTTTTTGTGCTTTTCTTTCTCCTGCATGATGTACTGCTAGAAGAAGCAACCGCCGCCCCTAAGTTTTCAACCAGGTCGCTACATTAGCCTAACCGTGGCCCGCTGCCAGCACAGCACTGACACGGGGTGGGCTTGGAGGCTTCCTCCATTTGTTTTGGCAGTCTGAGCAAAAAAATGTCCTGACGAATTGGTCGACGCCGGTGAAAAATGAGCGGAACCAGTTCAGCCTCTCCCGCCCACCTTTCTCTGAGTCCTCAGCCCCGAACGCAGGACAAAACTCTAACTATAGCCAAACTGTCACAGAGTCCCTTTCATGGAGTTTTTGGTTTGGAACTTTTCAGTTTCTCTATGTCCTTCATCAGGTTACCTGAAGACTGATTATCAATATAAGTCAGCCTATTATTCTATACTGTGTAGGCCTGTCACAGGTATTACATAATCGCCTAATAGCAATTATTCAAGATGTTCTCAATCATTTAAGCTGCCTGCAGACATTTTCCATAGTCATTGGGTTTCACAGTCATATTATGCTGCATCAAACAAGACATGATTTGGGTCCATTGAGTTGAGGCAAATAAATGTAAATAAAAAAGCAGTAAACGCATTGGGGCGTTTGAAAAGAAAAAACTACTAACTTTGTGCACTGGTCTTGGTTAAGTTAAGATGATCTTAACCTCTTAAAATCCCAAGCTTGTTACATACTAAGGCTTATTATTCAGTAACTACAGGGACTTCAATGCAAACTGCCTGAGCTATTCTTAGTTTACAGGCTCTGCCATTTAAGGGGTCAATGCTAAGATGCTTTTGGAAGACTGGACCCTGTTCATGTAAATTACAGTAAAATCTCTTCATTTGTAGCATGTGCAAAATGTGACATTCTGGACTAATATATATTTTGGGGTTTGTTTGCATATATCTGTAAGGACCAAAATATAGTTTAATATTGGCTTAAGGTCAAATTTGATCGACCTTCCCCAAAATTTGTCTGCTTTTGTTTTTTGTGGATTCTTTCTTTGAGTCTGGATAAAGAGAAACCATTTTATAGTGTAAATACACTTTGAAACACGCCTCACTTTTTTCACGTTGTGAATAGTGCCTGCTTACATCGTCTCTACAACACTGGCATAAGTAAAAAAGGATCAGAGCTAGATACTTCACCCTACTATCAACCCAGTTTAATGTTTTCACCTGTGTCTTGATAATCACTAGTTAGTTTGTGTAAACTAACTAGTTACTAACTTGTAAACTAACTAGTTACTAACTTGTTTTTGTTTTCTTTTGTCCTTGCAGAAAGGTCCATGCATGTAAAACCTCTTATCTCCAAAATTTTACAAGAGAAAGAAAAAAACATTTTTAAGTTTATGTAAGTTAATGTAGAAACATTTTATTCCAACTAATTTGGAGCCATTTCTGATGGTGCATTCATCATTAGGGTAAACAACAGCCAGCATTTCCACAATTATGTAAAAAAAAAATTAAAAACAGTAAAACTGGAGAGATTTTGTCTTGAGAGCAGCAGTATATTTGCTGCAATGCCATGCTGTGTTGTCTCTTTTGTAGTTCTGTAGCTGAGCTTGAGTTATAGTTCTTTGCCTAAACTTCTCTATCTTCCTAGTGTCTGTTTCCTCACCTCTACCTGCCTCATTTTGGACTACTTATTTTAGATTTGCCTGTAATATGCTGTCTGCCTCTTTCCTTACACCTGCCATGGACTGTGACAATGAGCTGAAGAATTGTTTCAATAAATCCAACTTGCGCATACGTCCTACTGCTTCAGGTTTCCTCCGTTACACCAAGCAACTCCAGTTAAACCAGCTCTCTGACCGTTTCACTCTGTGTCAAAACACAGAAAGTGGCTTGAGCTGAGAAGAATGCTATAAAACGGTAAAACGGTGAAGGAGAGAGCAAGCAATAAACTCCCAATACAAATGGGAATTGATGTAGCAGATAAAGAGGCCCAATGGAGATATTAATGCTTGTAATACGGAGGACTGGAGAATAGTCCATCATTCCTGCTTATGCCACTCCTTCCCTGATAAACAGTTATGAGAGAGATGTGCCGTAGGTTCGCAGTAACTGCTCAGAGGGACTGTGAATGAGGTTTTAAAATGCCTTTCGCAGATTGAGTGGTTATTTCAGTAAAGAAAGATATCAACCTTTAATGATTGCTTATCTCTATAAACTTCACAATGTCATAGGAGGCACTAGGAGGGAGATGCACAGTGTTGTGTGTAAAAGAATGGCTTTTGTGCTTTAGGTTCTCCACTCTTAAAACCAGATGATTTTCCGTGGTTGATGGGAGTTTTTGGTCTTTTGGATTCTGGTACTGAGTTTACGGGTATATGCTGAAGTGGTACAGGGACAAGTTAGTTTTCAAAACTCTCTCTCTGTACATAAAGTGGCATGTTTGTTAACCTTTAGAAGTCGAGAGTTGTTATTGTCGTTTTTGTTGTACTATTCATACATACTTACCTCATTACATATTTAATTACATAGTAATTCACATAATGAATTATGTTTACAATCCATATTGACAGGTTAAGGTTTGGACTTCTGACTTATAATGTAAGTCAACTCTTTTCCAATCCAAATAATAATAAAAAAAATCTCCTTTTACTTACAAACACAAATGTGGTCTAGATTCAAGTTTAAAATAAATTAACAAATGTTCGGTTAACCGTGGGGAAGGAAAAAACAGAACAAAAGAACAAAAACAACATCTGTTGAATGTTATATGGCTGTAAGTTTTCCTTTTTAGGTGACAGCACTGGTATTATGCAAAGATATAGCATACATAAGAATGTGTTTCAAAACGTTTTATTATTCAAAAAAAAGCTGAGGGAAATCAGTAGGTTTGTGTATCAGATAAATAATGGAGGCTGCCAGATGAACTAAAGAGCTAACACTAGAGCTAACTGGTCTAACGTTGGATGTCAATGAGAACTTGTTATCTTCTACACTAGGTATTTTTTCCAGCATGCCAGCATGGTACACTGTTAGAAATAAAGGTTCTGTGCAGGTACTTTTTTCGTTCATCAAGATGCAAACAATGTAAATGTTCCCTCAAAGGTACAACAGTGGTTTTAAGGTGTGATTGTGAACCTTAAATAAGTTTTTCCAGGTGAAAAGTATTTGTACCTTTTCATAACCGAATGTTTTAAAACAGAACAATAAAATAAAAGCCTGGAGACGAGACGGGGTGTGTGGAGTCAGTACAGCTTAGAACATATCATTTCAGTGGATTATGGTACAGTTATGTTCCCTGACTAAAGGGACTAAGACATACCCTTGAGGGTACCACCCCAGTGACAAGAGGGGCACTGACCCAGTGACAGTTTACTACCTTTATTTCTGAGAGTGTAGTTTGCGATTTTCTGTGTCTTCCTGTGCTGGAATGTAATCCCTGAACAGCAGTTTCAGTATCCGAATACTGGCACCTTGAATGGTTAACCGAATGCTCAAGAACTTAAGCACATCTCTGGTTTCAATGAATTATGAGTGAGACATTATTTATATCAAATTATATAATATATATATTATACCAAGTTTTTTGTCATTGCTGGCACATAAACTGGTTAGGGACAATGAAGTTAGCTGTTTGAAATGCATGGAAATTCAATGCTATATGTTGATCCTGAGATGATGCTAAGATGGCTGCTACAAGGTCTTACATCGTAGTGGACCTTTTAAAGGGGTTTGTAGGGAGTAAAGGGGACACACTGTCATGCTAAATGAATTTTATTTTATTTTCTTTCGTCGAATCTGCGACAATCAGTGTCGTAGTAGTTTGACTATGTGCTAAATATATATCGTTCTCTCTTTCCAGGCCACAGAATGGGTCTATGATCCTGTACAACAGGAAGAAGGTGAAGTACAGGAAGGATGGCTACTGCTGGAAGAAGAGAAAAGACGGCAAGACCACGCGGGAGGATCACATGAAGCTGAAAGTGCAGGGAGTTGAGGTAAGAGAGAACGAGGAAGGGACTCCTCTCCATCTGCAGCACGGTGCCATCAACATGCTCTTCACACACACACACACACTGAGACACCGGAGCAGATGTAGTTTGCATTCATCCTTTCTGAGAAACACGACTGACTTCAGCTCATTCTGCAGACTGGAGAATAGTATAGAATGTGTGACATCCTCACATCCACTCACGCACTTCCTGTGGTGCTGTAGCTGTACAGCTGTACAGTTACATAAAGCCATGGATTTATTACAGCGTTAGTTTGGTGAAAAATCAAGCTTACGGTTCTCCCATTGCCCCAAATGTAGTTGATGAGGAAAGACAGGTTTGTGGTCTAAAGTGTTGTGGTTTTGTACTGGAGCTATGAGGCTATTATAGCTAACAAATAATGGTACATAGAATTACAGCTCAGGAATTAGCATCATGCTAACTGCATGCCTAAATCAGCACTGACATGCTTGAGTTGTTAACCCTATTGAACCGAACATCTCACCGGTAATTCAGACCTTGGAAATGTTTCCTTTAGCTCGAGTTGCAGTTCTGCACTCGAGCTAATTGTTGCTTTGTTTAGTAAGAGTAGTGATAAAGCGTGACTGATGTGTTCCTATTTATGTTTTCTTATTTGAAATTGTAGTTTGTGACAAACAGAAATGTTGGCTTTGTTAGATCACAATATATACATATCTAATAAAAACAACAACGAAATTTAGAAATGTTATTATTATTGTTGGTCCAATAGGAATTAAGGCTGATAATTACATCAGATAAATTTTCCAATATTGTAAAAATAGGACGAAAAAAAACTACCAGAGATATACGAATAAGAGGCCTTCGGCTAGACTCCTAACACTACATTGACCAAGCATTTTAAATCACTCTACATCAGGGGTTCTTAACTTTTTCACAGTGCGACGCTTTTTGTATTAAGAATCTTTTGCAACCACCTCTTTCCCAAATCCGCCCCCCTCCCCACGCACAACAATTTACGCATAAAAATACAGAAGAATAATTAAATAGTAAGTCAATTCACTTGCTGAGCCTACATTCTTTAGCTAGCTCTTCACCACACACCACAAATCTTTAGCCTGGTGCTGAAAAAATGCTTCAAGTTTAGCGGCAAGTCGAGACCCCACAGTAATGAGCTCACCCAATAGAAATTCATAATTAACATTAGGCTGTCGATGACCTGTAGGTGGAGTCATTTAGCAGGTCTTGTATGCACTCGTCAAAACTATTTTCTCTTTATCTAATAAGCTATATGTCTTGTAGCACCACTCTCTCAACCTCCCTGGAGCTCGAGGGGGTTCGGACCCCCAGGTTAGAAACCCCTGGTCTCTATAAAAGCATTTTGCTGCTGTCGGAAGAAAACCTTGTATCTTCATTTTTGTCGTTTTCAGTTTTTGACATAATTTGAAAATGCCTGTTGCCCTTTACATTGTGTGTAAATTTCATGATGAATGGACGAAACAAAACGGCCAAAAATGACTTGGAACAAAGTCTGGTTCCATTGACTTACATTAAAAGTGAAGTATGTTTTTTCCTTCTCCTGTAAAGTTACCATTTTGGAGATTTGAAGTTTTCTTCCGACAGCAGTGATTTGCTAAATAGCTAAATGTCCACAGTAATTATCACGTCTGATGTAGTTCAGTTACTCAGATATCCATCTTCACAGTTTAGCCTTTCTTATACTCACTGCGCCTTCCTATAGGAACTATAATATAAACTCATTTCAAAATGCCAAAAGCCTAAAATGATCACTTAATGCTAACGCTAACAGCCACAATAAGTTGTTAACAGAGATGGCACAAGACCATTTTTCCAATATTAATACCAATATTGAAGCTTAGGTTTATACAGATTCATTTTGTTTATTTTAAACTTCACTAAAGATCTAGAAGTAGACAGTCATGCTCAAAATACTCAAACAGTGCTGCCCCACAGGAAGAAATACTCGTCTAACAACATAACACCCTCCAAAGAGAAAGACTGATATTAGTGGATAGACTGGTTACAGAACTGGATTAGGTTCCCTTTTTCTGTCTGATGTTCGATCCAGTATTTCCACTGATATCAGCCTGATACTTCGTATTAGATCTGTGCCATCTCTAGTTGTTTATTATCAGTTATTGTTATCGGCCTGGAAATTCTGTATCGGTTCATCCCTGTCTAATATATAAGCTCAGACGAACCCCTTTAAATGAAGACTGGTAATAAAGCGTAGCCCCAGTGCCCATGTTCCTGCTCACTGGCTCTAATGGAGATAAATGCCAGGACATTGCTGCTTTAATACCACGATAGTGCAGACACTGAGCGACAGATCTGCTATACTGCTCTGACACTGTCCAACACTTACAGCTCCTCGCCCTCAGTGCCACTGGTTCTGGCCCAACACAGTTTAATTTCTACTGCCATTTGCTGAGACCGGAAAAAGAAAAAGAATCTGTGCCCAGTGTAATGTTACTGCCCCGAGGCTATTCTCATCACTTTAGTCCATCCAACCTGCTACACAAAAACTCTTGTCTCAACACGGCGCACAAGCACACACACACACACACACACACACACACACACACACACACACACTTCAGCACCACCACTCTTTTCCTTTTACTTAACTAAATGCAACAACTATGGCTAGCAAGTTGGTTAACTTGTTGCTCATTGGCTGGCTAATATGGTATATAATTACATTTTTTTTAGCAAGGTAATATATGTAAAGCTCTAAACAGAATGTAAATATTGCAGTGTCACATTGTCCAAACATTTCAGTGCTAATGATAAATCATTATTCAAAGTACTTTTCAGGCTAGGCTTAGTCTTAATCTGAGTTTGGTAAATTAGACCCCTCCATACATCAAAACAAATGATTTAAGTTTTCATTTTGTAACTACCGAGACAATCACAACACTACCGAACCTTTACCAAATTTTTTGATAGTGATAATTTTGGGCACAACTCAAAAACGCTAGCCAGCACGTGACTAGCAAACACAGCTTTGAACAGCTGTACTCACATAAAATCATATTTTTATCAAAAAAACAAAGTTTCTTAATTGCAGAAATCTTAAATGATCTTAATCTTAAATGATAAATCTAAATCTTTCAACTTCAATATAAAGGAAACAAAAAGATTTTTTTAAAAGTTGAAACAAATGGCAACGTAAAAAAGTGTTATTTTCACAAGTTGAAATATAGGGGTTAGGCCAGGGGTCGGCAACATGCAGCTCCTCTACTGCTCAGTTGAGGCTCCACAGCCGGAATTGATCTTTAGGTAAAAATAAAATAATCCTCCTTTGCAGTAAAATAAAACTCTGCTTGAAAAATTGAATGTTGAGAGACATTTTACAAAAACTATTCTACTTTTGTGGAAAAGTTTCCTGCTGGAGATGCGAGAAAAGTGGCTGTAGCTGAACTGAAGCATAAAGCAGAGCAAAGAAAGTCTGCATTTTCGTTTATATTATATTTTTTATCCTATAATAGTACACCAGCACATACTGAGTCATACTTACAGCCAAGATGGTAAAATGGACATGAAATATTTTGGCTCCCAAGGTGGTTTGATTTTTGTTGAAAGGACAAAATGGCTCTTCTTAACATTGGGCTGCCGAGCCCTGGGTTAGGGTTTCGGACAGCCAGCTTGTGTACTTATTACTATTGCAATTAATACCTTGGGTTTAAATAGACAATAACATAATCTTGTAAATGTCCAAAAGGTCTGAATACTTAAGTATATTTTTAATGTTTTCTTTTTATTTTATTTTTTTTTTACCATAAGACTACAGTTATAAATACATGTGTGTATACATAAATGTGTGTGTGTGTGTGTGTGTGTGTGTGTATGTGTGTGTGTTGGAACAAAACCTTGTGTCTCCGTTTTGTTTTTTGTTTTTGCCAGCTGCCATTTACACTGTACCGTGTCAAAATTTCAGTGGGCCAGTAAAAATGGTCCAAAATGAATAAACTCTTCTTACATTAGCTTACATTGAACGTTTTCCCCTCGTCTATTGAATATATGATGTATTGTTTCTATATATGTATATATATAAAATGTATGTAATATTTGTCAGTTCATTCTCTGATCCCATCAAACCAGATCAGAGACATTAGTGGACATTAGGCCACTCTTTATATCCGAATCAGCTTTAAATGGTGTTTTCTTCTTTTTGTAAAGAACTGAAACACATTAGCGAGGGAGTCATTCAGCCTGAAGAGACAGACTCTGTGTGTTTTCACTGTGGAAGAAGCATTGACAGCAAAGCCTGCGGGTTTGTTTCAGTGAATGAGACACAGAGAAGGAGGTTAGAGAGAGAGTGAGTGAGAGAGAGAGAGACGGATGGATGAGTTCAAATGAAAAAGTATAAAGCCTCATCTTGGTCGCTTTTTATTGACCTCTGCTGTTGTTTACCAGAGCACTTATTGAAGGGTGAAAATCGATTAACTGAGGCCTTCTTGTGCTCCCCTTCTGCTCCCATTTCCCCCAGCCCTCCCTGCCCTGCCCTTAGCCGCCGTCCATATCCCTCTTTTCTCTCTTTGTGATCCAATAAAGAGCTCTGTCATATCACTATCTATTTAGCGACCCCTCTGGCAACCCTGCGACGGCCACAGTAGCCTTGAATGCAGGCCAAAGTAACACAACAAAGACAACAAAGTCCTGATTATGTTATGTGGGTTTACAGGTCAATTAACCCTTGTTGGTATTCGTTTTGCATAATATAATTATTTGTATGTAAGAATATATACTAATTTACACTGTTCAAAAGTTTGGAATCGATGTTTTCAATCGATTAAAGTGTATAACATCATGATAATATGTTAGTTCTTTGCAACTTTTGAGATGTTAAATTTGTCCAGAATGCTGGATGGAGCTGTACATGATTCTACATTGACTGAGAAAGCTGTATGACATTAAAAACGAAGTTATAGTAAAAGGAAGCCCTGTATTCTACATTGTTTTGTATTTTCTTTCCCAAGAGTTCAATTTAACACTTTAGCACG